AGCGGTCGCTTCTGCCCTTGCCTGTCCCTGACCGGCGTGGAGCCCCAGGCGGCCCCGCGCGGGCCCGCTCTGCTCGACGCCGGCGCGGGCATCGGGCGCTGCAGGGCGAGCTCCTCACGGAGCTCGCGGTGGCGCTCAACCAGCTGGATGCCGGCTCGGACCTTGTTCGCAGACAGAGCGAGGGTGAGCCCAGCAGGATGCAGCAGCTATGTTTGGAGCGACTCGCCGAGAGCTGCGCGGCGATGGGCGCTCCGCCCTCCGACATGTCGACCGGGGTGGCCCTCCGGGAGCTCCGGGTCGGCGCCGCCTACGGGGACTGCGACCCCGTCTCGGCGGCGCCCTTCGCGCACGACCTCGTCTCCTTGCCGGCTGTCGGTGGCGCCCCGGTGCCGCTGGACCAGCTGCCCGGGAAGGGCGGCCCAGAAATCGTGCGGAGGTTCATCGCTGCCAAGGTTTTGTCAAATCAGGGCGCCGTTGAGGCGAAGAGGGGCTCGGGTTTTGCACGGCCTTATTTGGATCCAGTTCTTCGTCGGCGCGAGGGCTACCTCACCTTCATCCGTCGGATGGGGGCTGCCAAGTTGGACTTCAGGCTCGACGGCGAAGATTTTGAGGAGGTCGGGCTCTTCGCAGTTTGGAAGGAAGACGGCCGCCAGCGTCTGGCGATCGACTGCAAGGGATCGAATTTGCATTTCGCGGAGCCGGACAAGACAGGCCTCGCGAGCGGGGCGAGCTTCAGCGCCATGGAGCTGCAGGAGGGCGAGCAGTTGTGGACCGGAGGCGTGGACATAGCCGACGCCTTCTATAACATGGGCTTGCCGAGTGATCTACGCCGTTACTTTGCTCTTCCTCGGTTGCGTGCGGGCGACCTTGGCCTCAAAAGTGTCGAGGGCCAGTCCGTGCTGAGCCGAGCGTGGGTTCGGCCGTGTTTGGCGGTCATGCCGATGGGATGGCCCCACGCCCTCGATTTCTGCCAGAAGGTGCACCGGACGATTGTGCTGGAAAGGGGGGGGCCTCTCCGAGACAGCTGAGATCGTCGCCGGGCGCCCGCCTGCGGATGTGAGTGAGGGGGCCTTCACGGCCTACGTGGACAACTTCGTTGCCTTCGGCACGGGGCCCGAGAGGCCCGCCGCTATGCTGGACGCGGCTCGAGAAGCCCTTGAAGGCGCGGGGCCCCCAGTGCGCCCGACCGAGCCCCCCGCGACCGTCTCGGAGCAGTTGGGCTGGGTCTTCGACGGGGAGCGAGGGACCCTGCGCCCCAGGAATCGCCGCATCTGGAGGTTGAGGCTGGGGCTGCTGGAGCTTTTGAAGAAGGGGAACGCCGCGGGCCGCCAGGTCAGGAAGGTCGCTGGTCACTATGCTTTCATCGCTCTCGCTCAGACGCCTATGCTTTCCGCCTTCAACGCGGTTTACAGTTTCTCTCGGAAGTATTTCTCACGGGTCATGAAACTCCGGCCTTCGGTTCGACGTGAACTTCAGTGGGCTGCTGCTCCCCCCCCCTCGCCTGGTCTGATCTTCGTGCACCATGGGGCCCCGAGGTGCGCGCGAGCGATGCGAGCGAGGAGGGGGGAGGGGCCTGCCGGAAGGAGGCCGACGTCGATATCATCAGGGCTGCGGGTCGTGATGAGGAGAGGTGGAGGTTTCGTCATCCCGGAGTTTCTCGCCCTCGTGATTGTCTCGGTGGACCCGGGGGCCCCGTGGAGGAGCCGAAGATCGTGGAGGGCGAGGGGTGGAAGGTGCAGGAGGTATCGAGCGAGCTGTACGGGGGCAGGTGGCAGGTGGCATCGAGTGGGGGATGGGCCTGGGCCGAGAACATCATCGCCCTGGAGGGCCGGGCCATCGTTCATTCGCTTCGACACGCACTTCGAGATTCGAAGTCTTTTGGTCGGCGTCTTTCCGACAGGGGCCCGTATGTGCTCTGCAGAAGGGGCGCTCCTCTGCCGGGGGGTCCTGCGCATCACTCGGCAATGGGCTGCCTGGTGCCTGGCAGCAGGGGTGCAGGCCTCGGTTCGCTGGATTCCGTCCGAGCGGAACGTCGCGGACGCGCCCTCGCGACGCCGCATCCGCTTCGGCGCGTGGCTTGACGGGCCCGACGACGGGGACGAGCCGGACCTCGCCTGCTGGGGCGTCAGGGGCGGGAGCCGCCGCAGCCAGCTTGCGGACCGTGGGGCCGCGGGAGCAGAGCTCGACGAGCTGGCAGCCCGCGGCGCCGCCACTGGGCCGCTCCGCGGCGCCCGGCGGGCCCCGAGGGCTGCCGGGCAGGCTGCCGGCCGCCGGGGGCGGTCCGCCTCCAGCGGCAGCGCGCCGGCCGCTCCACCTCGGGCCGGCTGCGGCCGTGGGGCGGCGCGCGGGCCGCGCGGCGCCGGCGCGGAGAGCCGCCCCCGCGGCGTGCCGGCAGGCGCGGGCTGCGCCCCTGGGCCTCAGGGCGAGTTTGCTGCAGGGGGCCTCGGTGAGGTCGAAGACGGTCGCCCAGTACGTCCCGCAGTGGCAGGTCTTTCTTAAGGCGCGGGCGGTGGCTGCGTTCGTGGTGGGCGCCGCCCGAGAGACGCTCAGGGACGGCGCGGACGGCCTCCTCGCAGGGCGGGCGGGCCGCGGGCTCCTCGCCGGCGAGGTCACGCAGCACGGGGCCGAGGCGATGTGCGCAGTGAAGTTCCTCGGGGCCCAGCTCAGCCAAACGGGCTGCCAGTCGCTGCCGAAGGCGATGCAGGTGTCGCTGTTCGCGCGGGAGCTGGCCGCCGCGCGCGGCTGGACGATGGCCGCCTGGAGGGGCAGCACATGCCATTGCTTCCGCAGCTGCGGCGAGCTGGGGCAGGTCACGCCGAGCACGATCATCGCGCCCACGCCAGGCACGCACGCGCGCCACCGGGCCGTCGATCTGCACCCGTCCGAGGAGGAGGCAGGCATCGTGATGGGGAAGTTCGGCGTAACCGTGGTGTTCGACCTCGCGGTGTTCGGCTTCGCCCGCAGCGTGCCTGCTTTCCTCGGGAGCGGGCGCCGGCCCCTGAGGGCAGGCCACGGGGGGGGGCCGCTGCAGAGGCTGCCGGCTGCCGACAGGGCGCTGGCCGGCAGCCCCACGGCCGCCCCCCCGGCGGCCCGCGCGAGGTTTTTGCTTGCGCCCTGGCCTGCAGAGGGGCCCGCCTAGTCCAGCCACAGGTTTTTCTAAGGCTGTTGTTCAGTGGGCATGGAGGCTGGTCTCGCGCTCTGCGGGCACGAGGTTTTCTTGTGCTGGAGTGGGGCCGCTCGCGCGGGGCCCAGTGGGATTTGGCAAAGACGGCAAATCGAAAGCTCGTGAGAGGCTGGAGTTTGGCGGGGCTCGTGTGGGGCGTGTTCATGGGCACGCCTTGTCAGACCTGGACCAGGGCGCGGGGCGCCGGGCCCCCTCGGGATCCTGAGAACCCTCGGCCGTGCCTTCCGTCTCGTCTCCGAAGTGATCAGGAATTCATGGGCTTGCGTGATCTCAGACATCCAGATGACCTGGAGGCAGTAAAGATAGGCAACCTTTTGGCCGTTTTCTGTTGCAGCATACTTGAGCTGATGCACCGCCTTGCTTTGCCTGTCGCCATTGAGAATCCAACCCGCTCTCGCCTGTGGCTAGTCCCTCGCCTTCTGAAGGCCAGAAGTTGGCCATCCTCCTCCTTCGTCATTGCAGATATGTGTCAATGGGGAACTGCCTGGAAAAAAACCCACAGGCGTTCTGGGAGATCGAATAGAGCTCACTAATCTGGCCTGTCGATGTGGTGGCATGGTTTGCAATCGTACAGCCTCGTACGTCAATTCACGGGCTGGCTTCCGCGGGAGGCTTCAAGACCAAAGCCGCGGAGCGTTACCCGCCTCGTTTTTGCTGTGCCCTCGCAACCGCTCTTGACCAGGCCCACGGGTGCTCCAAAACTGGCCCCCTCTCCCCCCTTTTCACCTCCTAGGGGGCCCCTGTGTAGTCAACTCCTGGCACTGTCGCTCCGCTCTTCCCTGGCAGTATTTAGTAATGTTCTGTTTGCGAGAGGACCAAATGGAATGTTTGGCAAGGTTGCGTGTCTTGAGCCCTCGTCTCTGGCTTGATTGTGTCGCTGGGTCTGGCTCTTCCTGACCCAGTGTGATTGTGGCCTGAGCTGGTGCTGCCTTGCCTAAGCTCGCTCCGTCCACACGGCACGGAGATAAACTGGCCTCAGCAGCGGGGGGCGGCAGGCATGGCCCCTACTTTGTTGATGATTGCCGAACGTCCAGAGTGCAGGAGGCCGCACGTCCGCTGCCATTTAGGCCCGTCAGTTTGCGCTCCCAGTCCCACCCACCCTCGCGCGTGTCTTGAGCCCTCGTCTCTGGCTTGATTGTGCCGCTGGGTCCGGCTCTTCCTGACCCAATGTGATTGTGGCCTCAGCCGGTGCTGCCTTGCCTAAGCTCGCTCCGTCCACACGGCGCGGAGATAAACTGGCCTCAGCAGCGGGGGACGGCAGGCCTCCTCCTCCTCCTCCTCCTCCTCCTCCTCCTCCTGCTCCTCCTCCTCCTCCTCCTCCTCCTCCTCCTCCTCCTCCTCCTCCTCCTCCTCTTATGTACGTAACTCCCCCTTTCCGATTGCGCATAACACGATTGGGTCTCTTCCGGAGTCCCAGGTCCGCTATGACACGCGTCCGCGGATGGAGGCAAATCAACGTAGTGGGAAGGGCTGGGTGGGAGAGGTAGGTCAGATATGCCGCGAGCGCACTTAGCTTGCCTTCCCCTCCTCGTCTCTCCCTCTCTCCTCCCGCCGCCCCTGTCCCACCTCCTGCATTATTCCTTTTCGCCGCCCGTCTCCCTTTCTCCCTCTTCCGCCCTCGCTTTTTTCTCTTCCCTCCTCCCCCCTCTCCCCTCTCCACTTCCCCTTCCCCCTCCTTTCCTCCCCCCCTCGGTGTGCCATCTCAAAACTCGTGCGCCAAGACGGGTTCTGGGCAGGGGAGGGTGACGTGTGGGGAGGGCGCAGCGGAATTAGTGCTGGTTTCTGCTCTCAGGTCGGCGTCCTCCGAGACGAGCTGATGATGAAAATCAACGAGAACGAGGAATTGCACATGAACCTGTTCGAGGTGCAGCGCCAGCGCGAGGAGGAGGAGCAACGTCTGCACGAGTCCCACGCGGCAGTACGTGGTGAGCTGGAGCAGAAAGCTTCGGACTTGGAGGCCGAGAGGACCCAGAAGAGCAGGCTGCTCACGGAGTCGCAGGAGCTGGCGCGGCAAATCCAGTACCTGGAGGACCAGCTGTCGGAGTCCCAGACCCTTGCCGGCGAGCTGCGCCGCAGCCTGCACGACCAGAGGCGCGGTGCCGCGCAGGAGGCGCGGAGCCTGCGCACGCAGCTCGCGCGGTGGGCGCCCTTCGACGAGGCGGAGCACCCTGCGTGGAGCCGCTGGGACTCCCGCCCGGCGCGGGGCCGCGAGGCCCACCGGCAGGGCCAGGCTTCGCAGCACCTGCAGGCCAGCATCGCGGACGCGTGCAGGCAGGGCTGCGGCGTCTTCCAGGCGTGGTCCCGCGTCTTCGGCTCAGGCTGCGACGAGGAGCCGGCCGCGCGCCTCAGGGTCAGGTCGAGGCTGGCGGATGTCGCGCAACAGCTGGCTGTGGCGATGGAGGCGGCCCCGGAGCTGTTCGCCGCCTCCTGGCATCCGGGGCCAGGCGGGGCGCTCCTGGCTGGGCGATTCCGGCAGGGCGCCGACGCCATCCTGAGGCTGCACAGGAGGTGGGCCACATACCAGTCGCTGCTGCTGCTGCACGATTGGAGCGGCGGCCAGGCGGGGCGCTCCACGCAGGAGGAGATCCAGGCTCGGGGGGGGAGCCGCAAAGAGCCCCTTTCGGCCTGGAGATCGGGGATCCTTCGCTGGAGGTCGGGCATCGTCTGGGGAACTCAGGGATCGATCTTATTCAGTCGCTTCGCTCACTCCGCCGGCAAATCTTGCCTGGGTATTGCTTCTTGCCTCGCCGCTGTCGTTTGTCGGGGTATTGTTGTCAATGCGGTGGGGTTGGGCGGCTGCCATTTTTCGGAGGCGGTGGGTTGCGGGTCAGAGGCCTGACGGATGTTGGTTGGGCTCTCGTGGTTGGCCTATCACGAGCCTTTGGGAGGCAGTTTTGAAGCTTTTGGGGGGCCGTGTTGGGGCCTCTTGGGGTCCCCTTTGGGCTTCTTGGGGTGCCTCTTGGGGGCCCCTTGGGGCCTCTTGGGGGCCTCTTGGGGCCTCCTGGGGGCCTCTTGGGGCTGAAGGCTGGACTTTTCGGTCCCTGGTCTCCTTCTTGGGTGCCTCTTGGGGCCGCTTTGGGGCTCTCTTAGGCCGTCTTGGGCGCCTCTTGGGCTGTCTTGGGGCCATCTTGGGCCGTCTTGGGGCCCTCCTGGAGGCTTCGTGGGCCGTCTTGAGGCGGTCTTGGCAGCCTCTTAGGCCGTCTTGGTGCTTCGGTAAGCCGAAAAGGCGAGAACGCCAAGAGCCATCAGAAATTGAAGGAAAATCATACATTTCTGCCTTTGTGGGCTCTCTTGGAGGTCTCTTGGAGGCCTCTTGGGGCGTCTTTAAGGCGCTTTGGGCTGTATGAAGGCAACATTTGGCATCTTGAATCGCTCTTGGACCGTCTCGGACCATGTTGAGCTCCCTTCGAGGCCACTTGAAGCGCTCCTGGAGCGCTCTTAGGAGCCTGCTGGGACCTGGCCGGGACCTGCCCAGGACCTGCCTTGGACTTGCTTGGGATCTTGCCAGGACCTTGCTGGGACTTGATGGGTCACTTTTCGTCCGGGGACCCCCAGGGGCGGCCCTGCGCGCGCGAACTAGAAATATTGTTAACCAGCTACCGGAGATCTTAGCACGCCCTTGGTTCGCGGTCGACGAATTTTTGGAACGCATGCGGGATTGCCCAGGACGTAGGCTAGGCCTTCGCCAAGATAACCGCATGCCGATGAGAATAAAGTATCCCCCCCCCCTTAAGTCGTTAGAGTTTTTTATCGTCGACCAATAAGAGTTTGGTCGGGGGCGCGGGGGCGCGAAGGCCGAACTTCATTATCACGGGAAAAGTTCGCCATCGAAGTTACTTCCTTCTTATGTTGAGATAACAACATCAAGCGAAGCGAACACGTTGTTTCAGGATGTCTCAAGCGAAACCAATGTCCTTCTGTCTCTTTGTAGTTCTTTCTGTCTCTCTTTCTTTCTTTCTCTGTCTCTCTTTCTCTCTCTCTCTCTCTGTCTCTCTATCTCTTTCTCCTTCCTGGCCTCTCTGTCTCTCTCTCTCTCTCTGTCTCTCTATCTCTTTCTCCTCCCCCTCCCCCTGGCGCCCTGAACTTGTTTATCGCTGGGGTTGATTATCCAGGGAATTGTAAAAATTATAAATAAAAATTTAATGCATTTGAATCTTCATATTTTTTGTTTTATCCTCCTTTCCTCTTCTCTTTATCCTTTTCATGTATTATTCTACTTTTCTTTTTAAATTTAGTTTCTCTCTTTAAGTCCTTCCTTTATTTTTCTTTATGATGTATCTCTCTTTCTCTCTCTCTCTCTCTTTTTCTCTCTCTCTCTCTCTCTCCATGACCCCCCCTCTGAACTTTTTTATCCCTGGGCTTGGTTATCCATGGAAAATGAAGCACATGAGTACCCTACACGAGCACTTAAAAAAAATAATTTTCATAAAGCGCTTGTAAATAAAATCTAATACATTTGAACTTGGAATTTTTCCGTCTCTTTCTCCTCCTCCTCTGTTTTCTTTTCTTTTTGATTTTTGTCTTTTTGCTGATTCATTTCTTATTGTTTCTTTTTATTATTGTTTTTGTATATCGCTTTCTCCATTCTTCCGCCCGCCTGAACTTTATTATCGCCGCGGTTGATTATCCAGGGACACCGAGGCGGATGAGCTATTCCGAGGATTTCTCAAGCGAAACAAGCATATACTCGAGGATGTCTCAAGCGAAACAAGCATATACTGAAGGATGTCTCAAGCGAAACGATACGTTTCTTAAGCGAAATAAGCAATAGTTTGACAGTGTCTCAAGCGAAATAAGCAATAGTTTGTGGATGTCTCAAGCGAAACAAGGGATTTGTCGAGGATGTCTCCAGCGAGATAAGCCATTGTTGAGGATATTTCTATGAAGACTAAACGCCAAGGATGTCTCAAAACGTGCTCGGCTTGGTCTCCTCTTGATCATCTCTTACTTCGAGATTAAGGCGAGGTCTGGTGGGCTACTTTGATTATCTCCCCCTGAACCCCGAACTTTATTATCCCCTAGTGTTTATTCTCGAAGGTATTCGGTTACTTCGACTGGGGGCAGCTTCTGGGTGAATCGTTGAGCGCGTGTGTATATCTACATAGCCACCGCAGTTGCGGATAAGAGTGAGGTGGCGGCGAGGTCGTCGGCAGTCTGCGAGGCTCTGGAGAGGTCTGCCGCAGCCGCCGACACATTCAAAGGTTTAAAACGAGCCCGCCGCAGGCACAACACTTTCGTCAAAGCAGTGTGGGTGCCCTCACCGCGGAAACCAACTTCGGGCATGCACACTGGGATGATGTACGGCCCCCGGAAAGGGCTTGGGCCCAGGCTTTTCTTTTTGCGGGTGAACCTGTCCCTGGCGCACCGACTGAGGATGGGCAGCGGATTTAGTTAGTTTTTTTATGAACAACGAGGTCGACGAGGGCCAGCGGATTAGAACGTTGAGGAGATCCTGAGCGAAGCGCTTGTTTTGTATCATTCGTTGACGATGTATCCGGCGAAACGCGTGTTTTGCAGAGTTGGGTGATGTCTCGAGCGGGGGCCTTGTCGGAGGGCAAAATTCAGAGGATGAGTCGAGCGGGAGCCTCGTCTGTGACGAGGCAGGGGGGTATCTAAAATGGTTTTCCCGAGCTGGAACCATGTTTTTCCCAACCATCCTGTGGTGTTGGGTCTTCGTTTTGAAGAGACAGCGCCCCGCGTTCTCCCTTCTCCTCCCTCCTTCCCCTCCTCCCCCTCCTCATGCTCCTCCCACCCCTTGCGCCCCTCACACGATTCGTGGCCCCATGGGGAGCTCCACCGAAGGCCCCAGTAGCAGGGTTCGCATGCGGTTCCACCCTCCATTTCGGCACACCCCTCTCACGTTTTGTGGCTCAACAGTTTTTTGGTCTGCGGGTCGGGAGCGGGCCCCTTCCGGTCAAGAGCTAAACGGGACGCGAGTAGCCCTATTTGGGGAGACAGGGCGCGGGCGGGCGGGGCTTCAGGCGGCCGGAGGGCTCAGAAAACAGGCGGTGCCGAAGAACTTGCACAGGACAAGGTACGCCATGGATTGGAGCAGGGGGCGCGGTCCCACAGGGAAGGTGGATTGGTGTTGCCGTCATCGGCGCGCCAAGAACACCATCCTCGAGTGCTGCGTGAGGAGGGCCGTGAGCAAGTCAACGTCCGCGAGGTAGAGGAAGACCAGGCAGGCGAAATGCACCAGGTGCCACCGACTGGTAAGGAGGGGCCCAGGAGATGCGGACGACCACGAAGTCGATATGCAGCGTTGTGCCACCGGGTGGTCAGTAGCGGCCTGGGGTGGTAGTCCAATCCACGTCCAGGTAGCAGCCACGTGGTTCGGCATGAAGGCCGACTGTGTCCGCCTGCCGTGGGCCGGGTCGGAGCCGCGCTGCCCAGGGTGAGCGGGGCCGCCGAGGCTGCAAGGTGCAGAGCCAGCACCGGGCCAGAGCCGCGCTGTGCCTGGCGCTGCTGCCATGGGAGGGGGGAGATCGAACGGGGAGGAAAAAGCGGGCAGGGAGGAGAGAGGCCAGCGTCCCACGCCGGCCGGAGTCCCGCCACCGCGCACGAGGTGCTCGCGTGGGGACACGTCCCAATACGCACAGGTAAGGCCCGAGGCCCCAGCGCGGGCGTGCCACGCACGTCGCCGCCGTACAAACGCGTCGCAGGTAAGAACAGGGGGGACACAGAGTCCCAGATCCTTGAGTCAAGTCTAGCCGATGGGTACAGGGGGGACACAGAGTCCGAGGTCCTCGAATCACGCTCAGCCGATGGGTACAGGTAGGACACAGAGTCCCATATCCTTGGATACAAGAGAGGAGGAAAGGAGGAGGAGGAGGAGGAGGAGGAGAGAGCAGGCCCAGGTGAACAGGTGAATGCCAACGCTGGGCACAGGGGGAACACAGAGTCCCAGGTCAGGGAAACCCAATCAGCCGATGTATACAGGTGGGACACAGAGTCCCAAATCCTTGGATACAAGAGAGGAGGAGAGGAGGAGGAGGAGGAGAGGGCAGGCCCAGGTGAACAGGTGAATGCCAACGCTTGGCCAGCGGACGCCACACGGGCGAGGGGTATCAGGTGAAGGGGGGGGGAAAGGGGGACACGTGGTCCCAAGCTGGTTGAGAGGTGTGGGGTGGTTGGGGGACGGGGGCGCAGGTAATGGGAGTTGCGGGCAGGTTGGGCCGTGGTGCAGCGGGCCAGGTGTGGTAGGGCCGGCGGCAGTCAGCGCCGCGGACGCTTCCCAGTCCAGGTGTCGTAGTGCCCGGAACTGCGGGCCTGGTCCCCGTCGCGCCCGTCAGCCTTAGCGACCTCCTTTGTCCTCTGCACCTCCTGATAGAGCTTCTGCTCCCGTTCCCAGTCCACGTAGACACCTGCGCTGCTGGACCATCGGTCCACTTGGTAGTTGTTGGCCTTCATGTCATCCAGGAATTTGTCGATGATCCGCTGCTGCCAACGGCGTGGGTCGAAGGGCGCCTGGTCTTTGGACTTGCCCTTGCCCTGCTCCTTGTAGTTGTGCCTGCACCACGAATGCCAGGCTACGTTAAACTGGTATCCTCCTTCCGTCTGCAACCTTTTCAGGTGTGTTACTGCTGTCCC